GCTACAGTATTTTCCCACAGCTACAGTGTTTCCCCACAATTACAGTGTCTCCCCTACAGTTATAGTGTCTCCCCACAGTTACACCTCCCCACAGTTACAGTGTCTCCCCTACAGTTACAGTGTCTCTACAGTTACAGTGTCTCCTACAGTTACAGTGTCTCCCCTACAGTTACAGTGTCTCCCTACAGTTATAGTGTCTCCCCTACAGTTACAGTGTCTCCCCTACAGTTACAGTGTCTCCCCTACAGTTACAGTGTCTCCCCTACAGTTACAGTGTCTCCCCTACAGTTACACCGTCTTCCCTACAGCTACAGTGTCTCCCCTACAGTTACAGTGTTTCCTCTACAGTTACAGTGTCTCCCCTACCGTTACAGTGTCTCCCCTACAGTTACAGTGTCTCCCCTACAGTTACAGTGTCTTCCCTACAGTTACAGTGTCTTCCCTACAGCTACAGTGTCTCCCCAACAGTCACAGACTAGCACACCTGGGCGACAGTCACCATATTACCTTTATCTCCTATGGTTCTGTGTCGATGCAATTATTTCACCTGTAAATGTCACTTGTTTCTGAAAATTACATTCTAGTGTTGCAATAATTCATCAATTGATAGTATATATATATATATATATATACCTGTATATATATATATATATATATATATATATATATATATATATATATATATATATATATATATATATATACCTGTATATATATTTCATGTAGATCCACAATGAAAACGTGGATACGATAAATCTTGATAAAATCACACAGGGTGTGGTGGTGTTGGTGTGCGGATTAGTGGATGTCATGTTTATGACCTGACCTCATGTTTAGTAAGGTGACTCTGTGTACTTAAGCCTTTCTCTGTCTATGTAACTCAGTTGCCTCTGAAGATGTCTTGAATAAAGACGAAAGCTAAGATGCTCCATTGTTTCCCTTTTCCCTGTGTGATTTTATCAAGATATATATATATATATATATATATATATATATATATATATATATATATATATATATATATATATATATATATATATATATATATATATATATATATATATATATATATATATATATATGCACTGTACATACAATTTTTCTTAATGTTATATGAACAAAGATGGACAGGGGTGAGGAGAACAGCAAGTGAGTGGTTGATGGGAGTGAGAGGTGCTGGCAGGCACGGGTACACATACAGTACAGTACACACATCACGCGCACCACCACACATGCTTGGCCGGGATGCACGTGGTGCTCAGTTATCACACGTCAACACGCTCAACAAAACTAAAAACTGGAATTTATCTACAAAACTTTATCATCCTTCACTGGTTCTCCACATACTAAGCAAAGTTAAATGACATCTGGTTTGTGAACATTGCTCCTAAATACAGGATAAGAAGTTGGTGTAGTCAGGACTGGGGGGTGGGTAGAACAGTACATGGTGTGAATGTGTAGGGAGAGGTAACTACCAGGGCTGTGTTCCTTGTGTGGCTGCCAACACCTTATAAGCTGTCAGACAACACAGTTTAAGCTAATGTTTCTAAGTTGAGAGGGGTCCCAAGATATGTTGATGTTTATGAAGGTAACGGACTGATGTGAAGTGTAAATTTCAAATTCCAATTTTTTTTTTTGTCAGAAGACACCAAGGGGTAAGCCTAACCGTTTCAGCCATAATTTGTTTTGCCTTGTTCAAGATCTCAATATACTGTAAGTACTCCTCAACATACACTTAGGTTCGAGGATCAAAAGGTAGGAATTTGTGCAGTTACCGTACTTATCCCAACAACTCGGAAATTTTAAATAATTTTGCAACGCTAATTACACGTCACCTGATTTTATGGTAGATTTTGGTGTTTCTGGGTCATTGTGGATATACTAAATAAGGACTTGTTTCTGTTGTAGAAAGTCATCTGTTAGAGTACTGTAGGCAGGTGAGGTGCTAATCACCGGTAAATTAATGATAGTGAGGTGAGGGAATCTGAAAGAGGTCGGTGAGGAGACAGAGTTAGCCAGAAGAATAGAGGAAACGAGTACATCACTGACCGAGTGGAGAGTTTACGAGTACAGATTGGTGACCTCGAAAGACGTGAAGCAAACAGCGCCAGGAACTGTTGTTGTGTGATCTATTATTCACTGTATGAGTTAGTCTCAACACTCAAGTTCTTTATAAGAGTTTCACGACCCTTGGATCAAGGATTTTGTGAAAAATCAGTTTTCTTCCCTAAAGTAACCCATGAATTAATCTTATTAATCATGGTTGGCACAAAAACTGAGGAGCTAAAGTAATTAAAAATTTTGTGAAGTGACGTTTAAAATGTCCAGCCGTAAGTACTGTATATCAAGACAAACATACACCAGATATATAACAGAGAAACTATAACATACTGTAGTTCCAACATACTACAGAAAACTACATTATAGCTTTTCCGAAGTTTTAGTAACAAATGTTTTTCAAATTAAAAAGGAGTGTGGCAGTTAAGACCTGTGGTGCACATCTCCCAGAAGCCAATGTTTACGTTCAGGATGCCGAAAAATGATTGACAAGTTGCATTAATAATCTACGAACCCAAATTCAGTCTCGGCGCAGGATTTAGTACTACTAAGAGTAGCTTTGGTCACTTGAACATGAAGATACCTTACAAAGAGGAATATCAATGTTGGATGATTTTTTTTTACAAATAAAGTCCAGAGTACACAGATGTTATGTCAATGAACTATTACAGGCAGACACTGTGTGGTGGACAGAGTAACACGCAGGACATGCCACCTCTCAACATGGAACACAGGTCTTAGTTGTGACTGGCTAGGAGGGACACTAACAGGGTAGATCTGAAATGAGGGCAACCTGGGAACCTAGGAGACAAAATGGTCAAAAGGGGTGGGGTCAAGGGTGTGGTCAAAAGGGGTGGGTCAAGGGTGTGCTCGGCAGGGGTGGGTCAAGGGTGTGGTCAGCAGGGGTAGGTCAAGGGTGTGTTCAGCAAGGGGTGGGTCAAAGGTGTGGTCAAAAAGGATGGGTCAAGGGTGTGGACAGCAGGGGTTGGCCAAGGGTGTGGTAAACAAGGGTGGGTCAAGGGTGTGGTCAAGGTTAGGCCAGGAGAAAGTTGCAAGAAAATAAGAGAAATAGAGCTGTGTTTATCTGACTGTTACAACCGACTAATGTTTACTATACAAGTGTACGGCCGAGATCTGTTAACTTAAGCTGTATGATATTTGCATGAATATAAATATTCACAAACACACACACACATTATAATATATATGATATAATTATAAAAGTGTGTGTATACGTATATATTAACATATATGAAAATAAATATGTATCTATATATAAGGCAAGTGTATCAAAAGCCATGCATGCTTACACTGAGGGTGTCATGTGCTGGGTAACATTACTCCCTGCTTAGGTACTGACAACATTGACACACTAGTGAGAGTTCACTAGAAGCCATCACACAGGATGAGGATGACGCACACTGGACCAGGTGTCAGGTGACACAGGAGGAGGTATGACACAGACCACCAGGTGGGTGTCGTGGTACAGCCAGGCATTCCACACAGGGCGGAGGTCACCACTCCTGGTCACACAGGGCGAGGGTCATCACTCCTGGCCACACAGGCTGGATTTCACTCCTGGCCACACAGGGTGAGGGTCATCACTCCTGGCCACACAGGGTGGAAGTCATCACACCTGGCCACACAGGGTGGAGGTCATCACTTCTGACCACACCCTCCTGCCCACTAAGATTGGGGATCAAGATTCATTGGAAGGTCAAAACACTGTTGGCAATGTGTGGCTGGCTCTGTGGCTAAGGTTGTGGAGTAATAAGTGCATCTGGTATATGTGGTCAGACCTTATGGCTGGGACGTGTAGCCAGACCCTTTGACGAGGGGCAAGTTGTGTATGGTCAGGAAGTGTGGCCAGACACTGCTGCAAGAATATGTGATCAGACTTGTGTGGCCCATGTAATGTGACATGACTTACTGTGTGTGGTCAGATTATGTGATGAGGCTGTGGCACTATGTGGCCAGGTATGGTAGGGAGGCCTAATTGTATGGCCAAACTGCATGGTCATATAACCAGACAGTATGACCAGGCTATGTGGCTATGCTGCTTGGCCAGGTTGTGTAGGCAGACTGCCATGAAAAGTGTGGCCAGGCTGTATGATCAGGAAATGTGGCTAGGCTGTATGATCAAGAAGTGTGGCCAGGCTCAGGAAGTGTGGCCAGCCGTATGCTCAGGAAGTATGACCAGGCGTGTGATCAGGCTCTGCAGCAAAGTTGTGTGGCCAGTCTCACACTCTCCAGCACTCTCCACCCTCAGCGTTAAGGCTCCAGAATAAATTAAACAAATTTCACTTTGCAAAAATATAAAAGACTCAATTTAAACAAAAATAACTTATAATCACCGAATAACTTATAAATTTATATACTGTAAAAAAAGTTATAAACATTGTAAATAATGAAAGCCAAACTTAATGATGGCCACATTCCCGGGTGAGTCCCTGTGTACCTCAGTCACCTTCACTCCTAACATTCTCAAACACTCCTAAGATAATTCTTTCTCACGTAACTAAAATTGAGAGAACACATCTTGTTAGTGGAATTCTGACGTCATTTTAGAACGTTATTAACACAGTTTTATCTTGAGGAACTACTGCAGTGTGGTTCTCACTACCACCAACAGCTACGAGTAAAATTTATATGATGAATCTTTGGAAGTATAGGCTGTGGTCGCTAACTTTACCTCACAGTGAAATATATTAATCCACTGCAACAGTGATTATTAAACATTTAATTTTCCAGAGATTATTATTATCACTGGTATACTGAAACTACTGAGTAAGTTGTAAAATATTTGTACAGTATAAACCTGTATGGTGAGGTAAAGCCCTATGATGACTCTAAAGGTAGGAGCGAGGTACACACGCCTCCCCACGACCACGGCCCCGCTGAGGAGTAAATATCAACATAATGAGAGGCGGAGGTGCACCTACGTTGTTGCCAGGCTCCATGTTGCTCGTGTCTATGGTGCGGTAGATGCCGATGGGGATCTCACAGGTGGTGGAGCACAGCTTCTGGTACAGTCGCCCGTATGTACGGATCCACAAGTCCTGCTTTCCAATCTTCATCTGCAGACACACATGTTATGTGACTACCTGATGTTGCCAGCATATGACCATGACCTAATTATTATTCATAGGATGATACCCATGTTCATGCCTGGACACACACACACAAGTACTGTATAGCATCTGATCAAAGACTTTGCCAATGAGACCTACATCAACCTTACAAAAGTTTAGCTACATTGCGTGTAAACAAGCGACCATAATAATACCTTATCTAATGTACCTCTATTTAGCTATGTCAACTATGACCAGTATCCTAAAATCCTGACTTTGGTTAAGTATTAAAAGAATGTGAAGTTAAATAAATTCTTGGTGACATTCAGTTTGGTAATTTGGGAGAATTGTCAACCACATATTGGTTAGTATACATCTTAGACAAAATCTGGAGAGGCACTGAAGCATGAGACCACATCAACAACAGGTCACTTATTGAATTTAACCCCTTGTGTACGGGGACCCCTCTGAGCTGAAGGAAATTGTCTAGCGTCAGCCAAATAAAAAATAAAAATGGCGTCCCTGTAGCGAAAGGGTTAGTGGAGATTGTCTACGAACGAAGTATTTAATAATGTGGACCAAACTGTCGCCGTCACTCATTGTTACTCCCCTTCATGATCATGCTCATGATGATCATCATGATCAAGATCAACATCATCACCACACACGTACACAAAAGGGAGATGAGGGTTGTCAGGAGCGAGGAGGGTTGTCAGTACACCACTAGGTAATGACTCATTACAGTATTGCTTATTATTCTAAAGAATGCATGTCTATGTGAGTGAATGTGTGCACATACCACCCTTAACAACAACTACTACCAAGACAACAGTAGGAACAACAAAATTACTAGCAAAGCTTTATATCCAAGACCTGGCCAGATACAAAGCTTTATTGGATCACAGATTACAATGTATAAGACTGTAAAATGAATCGTAAATCTGTATAACAAACACCACATTTGTCATTGCGTGAGGCTATGGATACATAGAGGAAATTCGTGTTCGTGAATACGGTGTGTGTGTGTGTGTGTGTGTGTGTGTGTGTGTGTGTGTGTGCAGGTGTCATGCATGTGTGCAGATCACTTTACATATGTATGTTTTGGATAAATAATTTAAATCCCACCTTTTATGATACGATTGCATATCTTAAATTGTGTACCATTATTAACTAAATAATAAAAAAAAAAATATGACAGCTCTGGGTATGACACTCCACAAACTCCTGAGTGTATTGTAAGTCCATCTACTCCATGTCATAGGTCAAGCACAGTGCCAAGCTCCCCAGCTCTCCTGTCCCGGCCTACCGAGGTGAGGAAACCCGAGCCTGGCGCCTGGTCGACCCCCAGCAGCAACCTGACGAAGGTGATGAGGTAGTCCTTGACGAAGGCCTGGTAGAGGAGTGTGTCGAGCATACTGGCGGAGAAGACGCTCCCAGCAGCGAAGGGCAGCCGGAACATGTAAGAGATGTGTGACCCACGCTCCTTCTCTCGCTGTGTGAGGAATGTGGCATTACAATAAGCCCTACACCTGCCTTTTCTTGTTACCATTTTGTTATCAACTTGTGCATTAAATACTGAGTTGGATCTAGAGTATTTCATGATGGTGCCATCGCGTAGAGGACGTGGAAATGTTGTACTCTGCCCATACCTAGAGGTGCGACCCTTCCCTCCCCCCGCGCTGCTCCAGTCATATATAGCATTCACTGCTGTTTTATTTTGTTTTTTATTAAGTTGACATATAAACATTTTAAAATTATGTAAACTTACTGAGACTGTGACCCTATCAATGAACATATTATAAATAGCAGAAACATGTGAACTTAAACTAAATGTTACAGGCAGGAGCCCTGTGAATGTACACTTAGTAATCAGAAACATTTAGTTAGAAAATCTACTGAAGTTATAATCGCATGATGAATGTAAATCTAAAGTGATAAAAACATTGAAAGTTAATGCAAAATAAAATATATTTGAGAAAAATTATATGAAGACAATGTATTAGTCATTTTCTCTAAACAAAGATACAAGTTCTTTTGGACATTTAACTAAAATGCCGGTATAACATGTTATGAACCTTCAACCTTTGTCTATGTTATCAAGCATTGAAAAAGTGTCCACTGATGAACAATGTGTGTGTTCTGATATACACCTGGGTGGCTCCTACACAGCCTCCTCAGTGTCTTGAGAGGAGTGTTTGTAGCTGTCAGGAGTACACTATAAACTACCTTACAAGTGGAATTATACAGTTTATTGAATGTAGCGAGAAAAATAGGTGTTGAAGTACTCGCTATTGCCCTATCAGAAATCCCAGTTAACTGCGCACCAAACATCAGAATGTGAAACTATTCCTCCCACCTGTGAGGAGGTAACATGAGCAGCACAATGGCTGTGTCTACAGAACCCCCCAGTAAACACTAAATCAGAGGCTTCCATCTTCCATAAGCTATGTTTATAAACCATTACTAATAACAATAAACAAACATTTTCGATCCTAGTCAATGTTGTGTTTTTTGTGAAGAAGTGCGTAAAATGATGAAAATCATACAACAAATTTCCATACCTTTTGATGTACAATCTACTGTAGTGACACCATGAGACTCAGTGTTATCCACGATGGGCTTTAAAAAACTAACATTCCACGTCCTCTTGAATTATTCTAAGAAAATGTTTTAAAATTATTACGAAGTTAAAAAAAACACATTGAAATTGTGTCAACACTCTCACACACACACAATATATGGGTTTAGATGGTTGAGACGACATTAACAAAAACAAATCATGCAGTATACAAGGTGCTACCATGCGCACAGCCCAGAGCATGACAGCATGACAATAATGCAAAATACAGGCCACGACAAGTGCATGCTAAAGAGTGTGTTGTTCACCCGGAGCTGACACATATTATCCTCCATCTGCTCTTTAACTCTACATTATTATAAATATTTAAAGCTTACATTTGTACAGTTTTCTTCATTACTGCAAAATTACCCCCAAATAAATAGTTAAACCATCAACATTGATTTGTTTTGAGGAGCAGATGTGTGAAGAAGAGCGCGGTAGACTTGATCTGTGTGGGAGCTGCAGATGGTGCTGTTCCCGGCCACAACCTCCACTCCTACACCATCATCAACTACTACGTATTATGCTTTTAAAAAACCCGTAAAGCCCTGTAGCTTCCTGCAGTGTTGTGCTTTATGGATTGCTCTATAACTGTATTTATTCAGGGAATATTTAAGCAACACAAACATGGCAGGACACTTGAACAATGACCCCAGCTATTCTGAGAACTGTGGTACTGTCCTGGGGAAATCAAAAACATCTTCAACTCTAACAAAAAAAATCTGGTATCAACAGCAACAAAATGAAAGGTTAATACTGTAAATTAATTTTTAAGGGAATTTATACAAAAGTTAAGAGGTATCCCTAGGGCCTTAGAACACATGACAACACACGGTTCACTCCAGAGCAACTTCTAACACCCTAAAATGGTTAGTGAGGAACATACTGAGGATGTGTGGAGGTGAAGGTGAGGCCGGTGAGGGAGGTGATCATGCCGGCACTAAAGAGACTCACGACTCTCAGTCTGAAGTGGTCATAAGAAAAAGGGAGATGGTGGTGTCTCACAAGGTCTCCTCCTAGCAGAAGACGATTTAAAATTGTCTTAAGGATTTATGAATGTTAACTACATTTTAATGTCAAACATTTAAAAAAGGTGGAAGTGTTAAGTGTACCATTCATATTATTATTTTTCAATGTTAAGTAAAAAGGTAGGGGCGAGTCGGAAAATATCAACATTTCAAAATGAGACGTCACTCTAGAGCTCGCCGTACCAAGCATCAAGCAGACCGCCGGGATGCAGCAAGCCTCAGGGTGTTACTGAGAAGGCAAAGTCAAACTTCACAATTGAGAAATCAGGGAGCGCAGTGCAGCATGGTCAGGGTGATCCATGGTACGACCAGGAAGGCCAGGAGGCCGGTCAGTGAGGACTGTGCTCGTACACCATAACCTTTGCCGTGCGTGTCCGTGATTTCTCAGAAAAAAGCCAAGAAATCCGAAAAGTCAGTAAAGTGTTGTGGCCGCAGCGACGCGGCAGGAAGGTTACCCGTTCCAGCTGATTAATGACTTCAGAGTAGTAAATCGGTCGTTGAGGCGGAGGTCGCCGCCGGAATGAGCGGGACCGGGACCGACGAGACGCAGGGCGACCCCCAGGGACCTGAGTCTGGCTACCCTGCAGGTTACACACAACACAGTCGCCGTCAGACACCACCACCACTCTCACTCCACCCACCGAATCCCTCACCATCTTTCACCAGCCATCCCACCCCTACCAAGGTTCCAGCCGCTGCCTCTCTCACAGCTACCCAACTTAAATGTCTTATACTTTACACACATAGAACCTCATCAGTAGTGTTCTGTTCCCAGCTGGTGATGAATAGGATGATGCAACCTTACTTTTCCATCCTTCATCCTATCAAGGCTCTCCTCCTTCCCTTTCTTATTTGTTCTTTATCTTATTTCAAGACCCTTCATCCTTACCCTGACCAACAGGAGCCCTTCATCCTTGCCTTGACCAACAAGAGCCCTTCATCTTTACCCTGACCAATAAGAGCCCTTCATCCTTACCCTGACCAACAAGAGCTCTTCATTCTTACCCTGATCAACAAGAGCCCTTCATCCTCTGGATGTCCCAACACACTCAATGACAGCACATGCCCAAACATTAACCCCTTGATGTCCCAACAGTGTCAATAACCTCGTATGTCCCAGCATGAACCACTGAATGTCCCAACCCCATCAATAACATCAGACATCCCCAGTAACTCATGCCTCATCCCACATTAACCTCTACATGCCCTACCACCATCAGTAACCTATCAAGCGGCCAAGTGGTCATGTGAGTCAACACCTTTTGGTGACAACTGCTGCACTTACTGGCGTTGTCATCTTGTACTTCACCTCTCTGTCAACACCTTCAATGATTCATTAATAAAGCATAGATTCATAAAAAAGATTGTACAAGGGGATTTATCATAAGCGTGAAAGTGTGTTCTAATTTTTAAAGTATAAATAATTTGAATCTTATAAAAGCACAGTTAGCTATAAAATTTTGATAAATTTCTATAACACACAAAAAATTTAACCTGTTGCAAGAGGATTAAGAATATAGTGTTTATCATAGAGCAAAATAACTGAAATTCAAAAGGTTTGTGGCTGGTAATTCCACCTGTGTGAGCATCTACCCACAAATGCTTAAATAATCATAATATAAAAAAATATTGATTTGAGATTTTCTAACCTTGTTTTATATTATTCCTCACAGTATGATTTTGAAAAGTACCGAGTAAGAGAGATAGACACAGAGTTTGTCAAGCATAAAGAATGTTTCTCTAAAATATGAAGTTGATTCTAAGTTGATTCTATTCAGACTACCAGAGATGCACTGAAGTTCTCAAGTTAAATGGCATGACAACACGACAAACCAAACCAAACCTACTCCTGTTGCTGCCCACCATCAATCACTGTCATCCTTCCGCTGTCACCCACTGTCACATATTGTCACACACCGTCATACGTTGTTACTTCTACTGCTACTCACCGTCACACACAATCACCCATTTGCTTCCATTGTCACACATCACCCACTGTCCATACAACGAACAAACTCACCACAGAAACACCCATATCAACAGAGAGATACAGTAGTTTAATCCTGTGTGTGTGTGTTTGTGTTTTATTGTATAGCGTGATGTGTACTTGGGTGTTCAAATATCCTAATCTTAATGTTAGCTAACCTACAACCCCGTCCACACAACCACGATTTACTATCATCATTCACTACTTTTACCTGATGCTCATACTGTATGTTTTTTTTATCAACATTAAATAGTAAAGCCAGCCTCTCATCATTTATTTTTCATATGGAAATAAATAGATAAGGAAGATGGGAAGACATGAACACTACTTTGAAAGGAGACAGAATCATGGATGTATCAGCAAATGGGTTAATGGATAATGAACTGAAGGAATAGGAGAGAAAGACAGAACTGTGTGAAAGGTGATAAAGAAGATCATGCACAAGAGAAGATGTAAGTTTGAATGTGGTGCAAAGAACAAGAAACAAGATGATATAAACAAAGTGAAAGAAAGAAATGTGGTGAGAGATTAGTTAATATTATGTATAATTGAGAGAGAAAGAGAGACTGTAGATGGGAAGTGGGCTGGACATACTTTAGACACACAGAGCCATAGTGGAAGATGGATTGTTTTTCTTAAGAACATTATATGAAAGGCCTCAATGTATTGTTTTATAAGCTGCTTGTATAAATTTTCTAATAAATGGAAGTGTTTTCTTGACTCACAGGGGAACCTAAAGATGAGGTCACCAAGTCTGAAAGTTTGATTCTACAGTATATCCATCGTGACATCTGGAGTGATATAAAGTCAGTAGAAATTGGTGAAAATAATTATTGAGTAAAGACCGTGCAGGAGTGTGCCTGAGGACTCCAACAATGAGACAGGATCATGAGTTTTACCCTAACCAGACAATAACTGGCGAGATCTACACAGATACTTAGAGACATGTTGAAGACACCAAACGGCTCCACATCACAGAAGCTCTTACAAGTATGCGACATAATGACCACCACCACCACTCGGAAGATCAGAAAAGACGATAACCTTCTGCAGCCCTTTCCACTAACCAACAGGAAGCCAGTACAGCAAATTGAATCACTGTGCACGCACGCACGCACACAGACAAGCAAGCACGCACGCAAGCACAACCGATACTTCTGCACTTGTGGGGTATTCTGTCGATCTGTAGTAACACTGCATCACTCCAACTAATCGAAACTTGTACAGTCTATATATTTAGGTTCCCTCAAGAAATAAGAAATCTTATTATAGGTACTAGAAAGACTTCCAAACAAATGATGAAGAGGGTCACAGCAAGGCTTATTAATGAAACATGATTACAGTTTCTCTATGACCGCCTCTCTCTCTCTCTGAATACCTACCTCCTCCCCCTCTCTCTCTCTCAGACTGCCTCTCTCACTCTTTCTTTTACTCTCCCAGACTGCTTTTCTTTCTTTTACAGACAGCTCTTCTCTCTCAGACAGATTACCTCTCTCTCTTTTTCATACACATGCACAGTACAGTATAGTATACCCTAGAGCTGTTCCAAACACAAAAAGTTGGCAGAAAGTCACAAGTTCAAAAATAATATCCACTGGATGGATTAGCATAACCAACCAAAATCAGTCAGAAACCTAACTTGACCGGCCTCTTTGAGTGAGTGAAAATAAGAGACAGTAAGCGAAGGAGCAATTTCGACTGAACTACATGAACAGTTTTGAATCTTAAGAAAATCTACATATTTTTCATTACAGATCAATTTAAGAAACTCCTGAAGCTTAAACTTGATCAGAACTTTAATTCTGATAAAATTACAGTAATACTGTACTTCGATTTGAATTAATAATACCAGTAGTTAGGAGCAATTAATGAAAATGTAAATGAGAGACAAGAATTTATCGTGTTATCACTCACAGTCATGCAAGAATATCTCAAGATTTGATGCAATGTCTACAATGATCATCAAAATGTATTCAAACTGATCAGTTATTCAATAAAGCAATAAATCAATAAACTGTATACACACTCAACACTCAGGTATTGTCTTCTATGAAACTGAGACTCTCAAGAACTGTGTTGGGGAGGACTGTCTCTAAACATCTAACTGGTATGACGATTTTATGAATATCTATAGATGAATAACTGAAAATAAACGTAAGTATTCACGAGATAAAAGGATTTAGATGTACAATATACATCATGAGTCACCTGTTTTAGCCTCTGCCATATAATACTTCTTCTGAACTTAAACTTATTTTGTGTTCTGAAAAGCTCTATGTGTATATACTGTACTGTACTGTACAGTACAGTACTATATACATACATACACACACACACACACACATTTTTGCGTGTGTGTGTAATATATAATAAATTGTGTTATACACCAGGTAGCCAAACAATATCACTTGGTCATTAACTTACACTCACAGTCTGTCAGTCATCAGTCACAATATAAACAACTTTTTCTCTTCTGTAAGAAAGCCATAATAATAATTACTCTGCTTCACCAAACATCAGCGAGAGCCTTAGGGAAGTACATCAGAAGGGAGACACCAACAGGAAAATAATCTCCTGTACAGTGACGTAACTTTCACGAGACAGACACTTGAGTTGAAGGTGAGCGAGGCAGCGGTGTACCTGCCACCCTTGTTGTTGTCAGCAGGATGAGCATCTCACTCCCCGCCCCCAACACACCCCTTGGAGGAGGAAACCTTAAGAGATCTGTGGGCCCGCCAGGCATCCCTCACCTCCACGGGTGGAAACTTAACTGTCATTGCAACTAAATTCATACAGGAAGGAAGCATGACAAAGACACACAAAGATGGACACATGACTGAAGACACTTAGTCTCATGCATCCCGGGCCTGTAGTGGAGGTGTGTGAGGGAGGCAGTGGCAGGCACCGCCATGCCCCCCACCCACCCACCCACCACTGCCAGCTAACTCTACCACTCTCTAGCCTCACTGTGGTCTTGCAGCTTTACACACTACAGTCACAATACCAGGCCACAGCAAACCTTTACTCATAAACTACATAATGGCCTCATTACATACTAAAACAAAATTTGTCATTTGCCAGTATTACTCTTAGTTATTTTAAAATTAATAAGCTGCTGGAGCACAATGTTTTAGCCTATTTGGCTAGCTGTATATGAGCAAAACTTCAGTTATTATTCATGAAAATCATCAGCATTAAATATTTGTATACAATACTGTATTTTAAGTTCACTTTATGAGGAGAAAACTGAAGGTTTACCCACAAGTTGGCTACAACGTCCAGAACTATAAGGCGTCTCTATCTGTTGTCTAGCGAGTGTCCCTCTAAGGTGTTGTGATGTGAGGCAGCGTGAGAGACACTACCAGGAGTCGGCCACAAGCACCACACAGACTACACAAGAGCCGGGGGGTGGAGCCGTTCAACATAACACCACTTGCTCCACCCTCCTGCAGGCTACTACTCCCACCTCGGGACACTGTGGTCACGCTCAACATAGCACTGATACACTTACTCTCCAGACCTTATGTCGGACTGATTACACTTACATATGACAAAAATTAACTGCACTGTATTAACTACAAGTGATACAATGATAAACCAAAAGACTTTTTGAATTAAGATACTGTACAATGAAATTATTGTTATAATGACTCAGAGTAGACAATACATGAAGATGTGTGTATATCATGCTCCCTGTATTGATATTGACTGGTGTTGGTGTTGAGTAAGAGGGCCATCCGGTGGCCAGGCAGCAGTGTGACACTGGTGCAGGCGACGTACGCCGCCGCCTATGGCAATGGGCTGCTACGCGTGGCTGGTCTGGGTCAGGTCGACTAAGGTGGGTTGGGACGACAAATGGACACTAGACCAAACACTAATGACAGCAACAGCGAGATCGTTACCGGTGACAATGATTCGTTTATCTGCTCAGGTCCATCAATACGGTCATGTGGGGAGAGTTGTACCTTTTCCATCTTAGACAGGTGGAGGGCATACGCGTCCCGGGCACGGAACTGCATGAACCGCATGTTGGATGACTGCGACAACTCCGTGATGATCTTGATGTTGGGGAAGAACCTGCAAAATAACTTTTCTTACTTTAATACATCCACATAGCAAATTATATAAAGTAGCCTGGTACCCTGTACACTACTCACCTTCATGCCTCCACACTATACAGTTGTATGAAGTCAACACTTGACTAACACCTCCATATTGTACAGTTATGGTATCCTGTTAACTATAATTTAATATAACACCTCCACACAATGCAACAGTATAATAATGCTGCTCAGATATAGCATCAGAAATACAGGGTGTTACATAAATACTTTTCATAAATCAGGGGGTATATTCCTGAGACTTAAATAAAGATAAATGACTAAATGAGCAAATCGTCAATTCTCAATAGTTTCGGAATTACAGCACATGACAGTCTAAGGGGTGTAAATGAAACATCCACTGCTGTTAGTGTCGCTTATTAACAATAATAATGCCATATGATTTGTATTGGGATTAACATTTAGAGCAAATGTTCAAAGTTCTGCCCCTCTTGGTCAATGCAGGCCTCAGCCCATCGCACAAATGAGTGTTGCATACGTTCCAAGACCCCAGGGGTGTTACGAATGTTTGTCACACTTTTCCTGCACACGGCGCCACAATTCCTAGCGGTTTGGGACCTCTATAACATACACCTTACTTTTTATGTGGCACCAGAGGTAGAAATCAAGGAGATTTATTTCTGGTGACTGTAGGTTTCATCACATTCTTACCAAACCTGTCATGTGCTGTAACTCTGCATCTATTGAGAATTGACAATTTGGTCATTACGTCATTTATCTTCATTTTGTCTCGGGAATATACCCCCTGATTTATGAAAGGTATTTACGTAACACCCTGTATATAATGGTTAAATACTATTCACAATACATAAAGGATTACGGACTATAGTACTGTGTAAGATCACTATTTCAGATTTTCTGTATAAACCTAAATGCCAAACAAGAAAGCCTGATCAATATGATGTTCGAGAGTGATGCAGATGTCAGGTCCCCAAGCTTGGTGCTGTAACACTACACGGATGTTATATAATGAAACAAGTGAAGCTTATTATTGTGTTAGTTGTGGAGTTTATGAGAGAGTATATCAAGTATGTCTCTCCACAATACTCTACACAACAACACCTCCATTTTTGGATTTGTGTATATTTTGACACTTGAATACTTCTTACTCGTTACAGCAACCAGGTACACTTTCTCACGTGTGGGAGGAGACATTCACAGTCTTACTTATCACCATTAGCCAAAATAGTCTAAATTCGTCTGAACAACAATCAATTCCTCAGCTCTTTCACACCTCCCATCCTTGACAGGTGATTCTCCTCCTCACCTTCTCGTTTCTAATGATGTGTCCCTCCATGGTCAGTGTGTTAATGTAATCCAGTCCATCAATCCATCCATTTAAACCCAAGCTGTCACACCTCATGCCTCATCAAGCCTCTCCTCCTTTGCGCAAGTTTCACAATTCTCGGTACTAGAATTCCTTTTTTTTTGTGCATCCGGTCATCTACCTAAAACCTGCAGCTCTTCAAATCTAAGGCACAACATCACCGCTTCGCACACAAACAGTCAAGTACATATAAAAATATTTTTTATTCAAGGAGAGAAGTTGCCCGACTATACTATATGTCAGTACCTCAACAACACCGCCCATCATTAGCACACAGTCATGAGTTCCATCCTTAAGTCCTTCACGTACAACATTATTGCTGGTGGCTACACTTGACACGGTAAAGATTTATGGTTAAAGTATATACTCCAGTACAAGACCTGGATATATGTGTGTGAAGCTGTAAATGTGTCACCAAAGTTTCAAACCCACTGTGGTTATTTCTAGTCTCTACTGCATAGCAACTTTCACTAAGTAATTCTGATATTGACTAAACATGTCTCAAAGAATTGTCCTTTTGTTGTTTATTAATTGTCATTCATATATTTCATTAAGCTGTATGTTTCCCCAGTCCTTCGCTGATATCTTAGTGTTAATGGAAATTGGAGTTATGGCTGTATGAAACCTACCACACTTGTGAGTGACATCAAAGTGCATATTCAACGAATGAATTGTCTGGAAAACTATAGCCTAATGAATAATGGAGTCGTGTACTTTACAAAATACTACCAGCAGACTTTAGTGTACGTACAGGCAACCCCCCGGTTACGAAATTCACTCTTACGGATTTTGTAAATTACAGTATGACCAATAAATTCGGGATACGGACAAAGAAATCACCCATACGGAAATTAGGAAAATTTCTAAGTACATTTTTTTTAATATTATTATAAAATAATTCACAGACATTATAAAATTTATTTCGTGTGGGTTTTTGGGGGGTTGCTACAATACTGTACAGGGCGAGGCAGGAGTCAGTAGTGCCCCTCTGTCTCCCTCCCAGTAACTTCGATTGCACCACCTGACCTCACCACCTCACCTAATGCAGCACTCAACATCGATTGTGGTAAGTTAAATTCAAGTGTTTTGTATATTTATTATCTTATTATATCATAAAATAATCAATGTGTGTTAAAAAAAAATATTTTTATTAAAAAATGGGCTTGTATTACGTCTTTTTGCCGAAAATATTTCCTTGGGAATGCATCTCCAATTATATAATGGAAGTCAATGGGAAAATTGGTTTCACGTTACGGACAAATTTTCAAGGACACATACCTTCCATAACCCAGGGGGATGCCTTAAGGGTTTTTTGTGATTTAAGGCAATTATTCTTTGATGACACACAGTCTCCAGGGTTTATGTATAAGTGTACAGTCTCCACCTTGTATCAGCGTAATCACTATCTCTTCAAGTAGTAAGATACTGTAGTCTAGTGTCAACAAAATGGTATTTATATCAACTTACTTTACAGTGCATATATATATACCTGTATATAGACATATATATATATATATATATATATATATATATATATATATATATATATATATATATATATATATATATATATATATATATATATATATATACTAACAGATACACAAACAGTATGATAGAACATGAGAGAGAGAGAAAGAAAGAAAGAGAGAGGGAGGAGGGAGAGAGGGAGGGAGGGAGGGAGAGGGAGAGAGAGAGTCTTACTTGAACATTGTCTGGACAGCGACGATGGTGTTACAGTCAGAGAGGGTGTCCTCCTCCGCTGAGTTGTTGAGCTCCTTGTTCACCACCACCACGTTCTCTGCCAGGTTGATGCCCGCCCGTAGCAGGTCGTCCAGGCTGTAAAACGACCTACTCTTAGTACGGTGTTAATACAACCACCCCAGGTAGGAGGTCGTCCACAGTAATACGACCTATACACTTAGTACACTTAATACACCCTGGTAGGGAGTCGTTCAGGTTGCTAACATGACCTACACTTAGGACAGTACTGTATATTGTTACTACACCTGCCCCTAGGAAGTCAGGGGGCGGGGACTCGCCATGACAGGGGGCGGGGACTCGCCATGACAGGGGGCGGGGACTCGCCATGACAGGGGGCGGGGACTCGCCATGACAGGGGGCGGGGACTCGCCATGACAGGGGGCGGGGACTCGCCATGACATGACAGGGGGCGGGGACTCGCCATGACAGGGGGCGGGGACTCGCCATGACAGGGGGCGGGGACTCGCCATGACAGGGGGCGGGGACTCGCCATGACAGGGGGCGGGGACTCGCCGCGACAGGGGCAGGGACTCGACTCGCCATGACGGAGGACTCGCGACCAGGACTTGACAGGGCAGGGAGCCACCTTGCCTCGCGCAGACATTAGCGAGGGACTCGCCATTAGAGGCAGGGACTCGCCATTTGCAGGGGGACTCGAGACTCGCCACCAGTGCGCCATTACAGGGGCACACGCCATTTACAGGGGGCGAGGATTACAGGGGAGGGGACGCGCCATTACACCTGGGGCAGGGGACGCGCCATTACAGGGCAGGGGACGCGCCATTACAGGGTCCTCCCATTTCAGGGAGGAACTCACCATGTCAGGGAGGGAACTCACCATGTCATGGGGACTCACCATGTCATGGGGGGACAGTCAGGGACTCACCATGTCAGGGAGGGAATTCACCATTTCAGGGGTGGGGACTCACCATTTCAGGGGGTGGGGACTCACCATGAGTGGGACTCACCATGTCAGGGGTGGGGACTCACCATGTCAGGGGGGGACTCACCATGTGGGGCGAGGACTATGTCAGGACTACTATTACAAGGGGGTGGGGCGAGACTCACCATGTCAGGGCGGGGACTCACCATTACATGGGGGGCGAGGACTCACCATGTCAGGGGCGAGGACTCACCATGTCAGGGGCTCACCATGGACTCACCATGTTAGGGGCGGGGACTCACCATTACATGGGGGGCGAGGACTCACCATGTCAGGGGGTACGATGTCTCACCATGTCAGGGGCGGGGACTCACCATGGGGGGGGCGAGGACTCACCATGTCAGGGCGAGGACTCACCATGTGGGGGGGACTCAGCATTACAGGGGTGGGGACTCACCATTACAGGGGTTAGGGACTCACCATTACAGGGGTAGGGACTCACCATTGCATTGGGCGGGACTCACATTACATGCCATGTCAGGGGCAGGGACTCGCCATTACAGGTGGCGCAGACTCACCATTATAGGGGCGGGGACTCACCATTACAGGGCGTGGGACTCACATATTACAGGGGGCGGGGACTCATCATTACAGGGGCTGGGACTCACACTCACCATTATCAGGAACACCATTATAGGGGCGGAGACTCACCGTACAGGGCGGGACTCACCATTACAGGGGGCAGGACTCACCATGTCAGGGGCGGGACTCACCATGTCAGGGGCGGACTCCACATGTCAGGGGGCTGGGACTCACCATGTCAGGGGGGCAGGACTCACCCATGCAGGGGGCAGGACTCACCATGCAGGGCAGGGGACAGGGGAGGCGAGACTTACCATGTCAGGGGCGGGACTCACCATGTCAGGGGGTGGGGATTCACCATTACAAGGGGGGGCAAGGACTCACCATTACAGGGGCGGGACTCACCATTACAGGGGAGGGAAGGCGAGGACTTACTATGTCAGGGGCGAGAACTCACCATGTCAGGGGGGGGATTCACCATTACAGGGGGGGCAAGGACTCACCATTACAGGGGCGGGGACTCACCATTACAGGGGAGGGGGTCGAGGACTTACTATGTCAGGGGGCGAGAACTCACCATGTCAGGGGCGGGGATTCACCATTACAGGGGGCAGGACTCACTATTGGGGGCGGGGACTCACCATTACAGGGGGCGGGGATGTAGCGAGGACTCACCATGTCAGGGGGCTAGGACTCACTATTAAAGGGGGTGGGGCGAGGACTCACCATGTCAGGGGCGAGGACTCACCATGTCAGGGGGTGAGGACTGGGGGTGGGGCGAGGACTCACCATGTCAGGGGCAGGACTCACTATTACAGGGGGTGGGGGGGGGACTCACCATGGGGGGCGAGGACTCACTATTACAGGGGGATCACCATGTCAGGGACTCACCATGTGGGGGCGAGGACTCTCAGGGCGAGGACTCACCATGTCAGGGGGACTCAGCGTACAGGGGCGGGGACTCACCATTACAGGGGAGGGGGGACTCACCATGTCGGGTACCATTACATTGGGCGGGGACTCACCATTACATGGGCGGGACTACTCATACTGTCAGGGCGGAACTCGCCATTACAGGGGCGCAGACTCACCATTATAGGGGCGGGGACTCACCATTACAGGGGCGCGGGGACTCACCATTACAGGGGGCGGGGACTCACAATTACATTACAGGGGGGACTCACCATTATAGGGGGGAACTCACCATTATAGGGGCGGAGACTCACCATTACAGGGGGCGGGGACTCACCACATTACAGGGGGGGGACGGGACTCACCATGTCAGGGGTGGGACTCACCATGTCAGGGGCGGACTCACCATGTCAGGGGCGGGACTCACCATGTCGGGTGGCGGGGATTCACCATTACAGGGGGCAAGGACTCACCATTACAGGGGGGGGCGAGGACTTCCATGTGTCAGGGGTGGGGATTCACCATGTCAGGGGCGGGGTTCACCATTACAGGGGGGGCAAGGACTCACCATTACAGGGGGCGGGGACTCACCCATTACAGGGGGGGGATGGGGCGAGGACTCACCATGTCAGGGGGCTAGGACTCACTATTACAGGGGGTGGGGCGAGGACTCACCATGTCAGGGCGAGTACTCACCATGTCAGGGGAGAGGACTCGCCATGTCTGGGGCGAGGACTCACCATGTCAGGGGCGAGGACTCACTATTGCAGGGGGTGGGGCGAGGACTCACCATGTCAGGGGCGAGGGGGCAGGACTCACTGTCCAGGACTCACCATGTTAGGGGCGGGGACTCACCATTACATGGGGGGCCGAGGACTCCATGTCAGGGGCGAGGACTCACTATTACAGGGGGTGGGGCGAGGGACTCATTACAGGGGCGGACTCACCATGTCAGGGGCGGGACTCACCATTACAGGGGGGGCGAGGGACTCACCATGTCAGGAGGCGACCACTCAGGGGGATTACAGGGGGGAGGCGAGGACTCGATGCTCGGAGCGGGACTCGCCATGTCAGGGGGGGGACTCGCCATGTCAGGGCGGGGGGGTCAGGCTCACCATGGGGACTCACCATGTCAGGGGGCGGGGACTCACCCATGTCAGGGGCGGGACTCACCATGTCAGGGCGGGGACTCGCCATGTGGGGGCGAGGACTCTGCCATGTGGGGGGCAGGGACTCGCCATGTGTGGGGGCGAGGACTCGCCGTGTGTCAGGGGCGGGACTCACCATTACTGGGGGGGTCGCCATGTCAGGGGCGAGGATTCACCATTACAGGGGCGGGGACTCACCATTACAGGGGGAGGACTCACCATGTCAGGGGGCGAGGACTCACCATGTCAGGGCGGCGTCAGGGGGCGGGGACTCACCATGTCAGGACTCACCATGTCACATTGCAGAGGGTGAGACTCACACAGGGGGCAGGGACTCACCATTACAGGGGGCGGGGACTCACTGTCAGGGGGCGGGGACTCACCATTGCAGGGGGGCGAGGACTCGCCATGTCACGGGCGGGGACTCACCATGTCAGAGGGCGGGGACTCACCATGTCAGAGGGCGGGGACTCACCATGTATGGGGCGGGACTCACCATTATAGAGGGTGAGGACTCACCCATTACAGGGGGCGAGGGCTCACCATTACAGAGGGCGGGGAGTCACCATGTCATAGGGCGGGGACTCACCATGTCAGGGGGGCGGGGACTCACCATTACAGAGGGTGAGGACTCACCATGACTCAGGGGGCGGGGACTCACTATAATAGTGAGTAGGCAGGGACTCACCAGTCGATGGAGCCAAGCATCCAGTAGATGAGAGGGAAGAAGGAGATGGCGTCGAGGAAGGCCACGTCAGGTCGCCTCTCCAGTAACAAGATAATAGGATTGAGCGATGTCTTTTTCCTGCCAACCAGAAACAGACAAAAACAAACTCCTAAAATACTAATTCTGAGGAACTTCAACAAAATATATGGGAAAATTATTATGAAGTGTTGTGTATGGATAAATTTCATGGCTAATGGTAGGTTATCTTCAAGGGTAGGACTTCAGTAGGTGTCTTCAAGGACCTACCTGAAGTGTGCTCTAAGAGGGATGACGAAGTTATAGATGCCGTTGCTGGCGTAGTCGGCGGCCAGTATGACGGCGCGGTTCTGCCAGTTGTACTCTTTGGCGCTACGGTAACTGCAGTGCTCACACACCTGTTGGGTAGTGGCGGCTCAGTGGTGGGCGCTCCAGTAGTGCCCCTCAGTCCAGGTGACCCAAACTACCACACCCCCTTCACCCCCCCCGTCTCGCTAACCCTTGATTGATCCCCCTCACCCACCCCTCTCTCTCACTACCACCTCCCTTACCCACCCCTGTCTCGCTAACCCCTGACTGACCCACCACCCCTCTCTTTACCTCAACTGATCCACTCATCTCACGATCTTTTTTCAATCATATGTCCTCCATCCACTACTACCCTCAACCACCAATACAATCATCTACCACCACTACCACTACCTACAACAACCTCTCTCATCTACCATTACCCTAATAATCATGCACTTTTTTTTTTACAGAAAATAACTTTCCCAGCTGCCACCATGAGCATCTCTTGCCAACGCCTCGTCTGACCAACTGTATCTGCTTCTTAATTTAATCGTGTTGCAGAAAAAAAAAACTAACACTATTTCTCGCTCTCTCATTGTTACTCCGAAAGACAGACACATACACACACTACAGAATCAGGTGTTCACTTGGTCCATCTCCTCACTAGACAGTGCACACAAAGTGAGCCCCGACGTTCATTCACCATCACTCGGCAAATACCACACAAACACACTAATGACTAAATTGTTTTAGAATTCTGTAATGCCGGAAGACTACACACAATGCCCCCTCTTCCTACTAAGGTACTGCCAGGTAGCTAACACGGCTTAATTAACTTACCTTCATTTGTTTTCTATTTACAAAATGGGAGTAAAAACAGCATGAAAAACACTCCCTTTAAGATAGAGGTAAAGTTATAAAACTGATATATAGTTATACTTTGAGATTATACGATAAATATTGAGGAATAAAAAAAATATAAATTCGAAGAAATTATTTTTTTTTTTACACGAAGGGCAAATGGTTTTTAGAAAGCAAGGAGAAACATGAAGCAAGAGGAACACTGAGGGAAGTTATCCGTCTGTACTATTAATGCTGAAGGACGACCACAGTGTAATACATTAAACGAGGGCCATATTAGAATAATTAAACTGCGTACGACTACGTTTTGCATTAAGTGTTCGCAAGTAACCGAGTAACATATTACAAGGAAACTACAAGAATTTCTTGCGTAATTTTCGCTGGTAGAATATCTGGTCCTGGTGATCTGGGAGTAGACGGTAAGCAGTATTCACAAAACAATGACGTCACAATTTTGTGTTTTACAATCTGCCCGGTGGACAAACACGCTGCACTGCTTCCAACAAAATTTTCGTCAAATTAAATTTAGTGCTTCCCAAACAATGTGAAAAAAGTGTTACAAGATGATGATATACTGTTATGTTTCGTCAACCATGTTTATTGCACTTGAGCATATTTTAGTTTATAGTGAGCAGAGCATAAGAGTTGTACTACAAATTCGTCAGTTTCCCTCTCAATCAAATTGTTATTTTGTCAGCTTAAGTTAAAGTGATTCTAACCGTTATTTTGTTTTTGTTTTTATGCTTTCAAAAATTTGGCAGAAACACATACCCTGTAATTCACGTTTTTCATTAACACGTGGAACTTTACACCTCGGCTGGAACACTGTGCATTCCTTACTTCTGTGTACAGTAGTTCAATTCAGTTCAAGTTTAGAAGCTCCAAAGTTGTTGGTAGCGAAAGTCAGAGCGGGGAAGAGGACAGAGGAAGGAGCAGGAGGTTAGGAAGGGAATTGTAGTGGGAGAGATAGTGCCGTGGCTTTACACGACTGCGTTTATGGTTAGCGCATAGCGCACGTATTTGGTTTTGTCTGTGTTGGGTGTGTGATCCTCGGGTCACCACTCCTCCGGATTGTGTCAGTTCAAGTTTAGAAGCTCCAACAACTTTCCCTGAATACGAATTCGCAACCTTTCGATTTACAACAGGTACCTACTTTACTGCTAGGTGAACAGGGACCAAGGGTACTAGGAAGAGTGTCCAAACAACTTCCGCCGGCCAGGGAATCGAACCCGTGACATCTTGCTTGTGAGGCAAGAGCGGTACCGCTTCTACCACAAGCGTTGAGAGGCTACGGCATTTTATAGTACCGTACTGAGTGTTGGGCTGGTGTACGAACTTGCTCATGTACGTTAATTTTCACACACGTGCTCAATTATTTCAGTTCAGTTTACAGGCTCACAAGTGTGGATTGTGATTAGATACATGACTGAAGACTTAATGGATGAGGAATATGTATGAAAACCTATAATACTGCAATGTTTTAATTAATCAGTTATACTAATCAATTCAGTCTCATTTAATGCCTGCAGGGTTAACTCTCTCATCCACTTCCCGGGATCACCATTGCAGGTGTTTTGGTGACAGCACACGTGCACAGTCTGTGCATGTGACTCCATAAATAATATTAAGTTGCAAAAATACTGCTTTCTCTCGAGCTTCAACATCGATTTTACACGATCTTTGAAACCTGAAGTGAGTGACACACACATGAGCCCGTGGGTCACAGTGGACGTAATAATCGGTGTTATAGTGGACATGTTAGTCAGTGTTTACATTGGACGGATCAGTCCGTGTTCTGCAAGGTACCATCGAATCTTTACGGGTACAGTATATAAAATGAATAAATGCAAGATGCAAAGCCATTATACAAAAAAAAAACATTCATTGGCATAAGGAGATTCGTTAAAGAATAAAAGTAAGGAAGGTAAAGCACGAAGTTAGTGGTGGTTGAGGAAGGTCACCCGTCCTCCTGGTGACGCTCCCGGAATAACACACAACAGTTGCGGCAGTGTTCACACACCCCACGGCCCATGCTTCCCCAGGAGTTAGGGCGGCGTCTCACTGGCCTCTTTCTGTGACTTTTTTTTTGTCAACTTTCACAAAATCGTCAAACTTTTTTCTTGCGCACCGTCACACACGTTTAGAAACAACTCGCCAGTTTCCCTCGTTCGACAACTGTCAACAAACAAGATGGATCCAACTGACGAAGAAAGCGCAGCAATTCTACGCCTTTTTGGTGTATGAAGAGTCCTGGTGATCCCAGAGACAGCGGCGCTGCCTTATCTGGTCCACTAAGAACTCCTCGGAGAGGCGTGTCCATACTTGGGAAATTATTTCATCTGTTGGCTCAGTCATGTTATTGTTATTCCCCCGTGGTCAAAATGTAAACAACAAATGACATTTTCTTACCATTTTAAATTACACGAAATTAAACATAATACTGAGTAATCTTGAGAAGAAGAGCAATAAATACTACATTATTATTTTATTTAGATTTTAACAAAAAATTAGTTAATTTTTTATAACTATTTGTATTATCAGTTATAGATAGTGAGTTGACTCCGGTAAGTTGTCGAACGAGTTGTCAGTGCAGACGGTCTGTACCAGTTGGTGAACAGCCAACGACAACTCCGACGATTCGTAAAAAAAGTCGATAGTAATGAAAAAGTTGACAACAGAAATGCTAGTGTGACGCCGCCTCAGTTAACATCAGCGATCAGGAACAAACAATACGTCATCTTGTATTTATTTTAATTCAACGAAGCCTAAAAGATCTTTCGTATGGTGTTTACCGTATAAATCCATTCTTACCCCAGCGGAGGACGTGTTTATGACGTCTACACTACATTAATTTTAATCAGAACTGTCGAACGCGCCAGGAGCAAACGGCTGAGGTGCAGCCGCCTTTGCTGTGTGAGCACTGCCTCCTACTTGATGCAAATATTGCAGATATATGTGCCGAAGTGGTAACCATAAACCGCTATGAGAAGACAAGCACTGATCTGATCTTTTGTAAGGACTGGAAAGGTTTGTTTTACTGTACTAGCGGGTCATGATCGTTGACTTAACCACAAAAATAGACGAAAAAGTACACTTCACAAATAAAACACCATGCAAAACTTACAGGACGGATACTATTCTGAAAGGATAAAGAAAAACGGTTAGCTAGACAGCAAATTAAAAGAGGGAAATAGAGGAATGTAGACAGCGACAGACCATCACCAACATTTCTAGCTACAACTACATAGATACAACACAACACACATTCTTAGGTCCAGTGTAATAGTCATGGCAAAAGTAATATTACAGTTACATTATACGAGAGGTTATTAACAAGTACAGTCCAAGTGACCCAGGTCACCAAGAAATAAACAAAATGAAGTCCCACAGTGGTGCTACAGGTACTATGTTATATCTGTATCAGTTATTATGATCATTTCGACTTTATGACCGATTTCTTAAAGGGCAAATTACAAGGCCATGAATTAGGTGTATAAACTAGTCTGGTATCTGGCGTCTTTATGAACTCGGTGGTGCTCTTATGAGGTTAAGTGAGATGTGTGGGGTCTTATGAGCAGTGGTGATTACAGCTGGAGTTACAGTATTATGAGCACTGGTGAGGGTGAATGAAAGACACTGAGAGCCCCCCGCACATCCCCATGGGCGATAATGATACAACTTAGAGGTCAAGAGAGATCTCATCACCTGGAACAGCAGGACGGGACATCTGAGAGGTTAATAAAGACCTTACATGGATGGTAAGGTCCTCAATCATCTGAGAGGTTAATAAAGACCTTACATGGATGGTAAGGTCCTCAATCATCTGAGAGGTTAATAAAGACCTTACATGGATGGTAAGGTCCTAAATCATCTGAGAGGTTAATAAAGACCTGACATGGATGGTAAGGTCCGAAATCATCTGAGAGGTTAATAAAGACCTTACATGGATGGTAAGGTCCTAAATCATCTGAGAGGTTAATAATGACCTTACATGGATGGTAAGGTCCTCAATCATCTGAGAGGTTAAAAAAGACCTTACATGGATGGTAAGGTCCTAAATCATCTGAGGTTAATAAAGACCTTACATGGATGGTAAGGTCCTCAATCATCTGAGAGGTTAATAAAGACCTTACATGGATGGTAAGGTCCTAAATCATCTGAGAGGTTAATAAAGACCTTACATGGATGGTAAGGTCCTAAATTATCTGAGAGGTTAATAAAGACCTTACATGGATGGTAAGGTCCTAAATCATCTGAGAGGTTAATAAAGACCTTACATGGATGGTAAGGTCCTAAATCATCTGAGAGGTTAATAAAGACCTTACATGGATGGTAAGGTCCTCAATCATCTGAGAGGTCAATAAAGACCTTACATGGATGGTAAGGTCCTCAATCATCTGAGAGGTTAATAAAGACCTTACATGGATGGTAAGGTCCTCAATCATCTGAGAGGTTAATAAAGACCTTACATGGATGGTAAGGTCCTAAATCATCTGAGAGGTAAATAAAGACCTTACATGGATGGTAAGGTCCTCAATCATCTGAGAGGTTAATAAAGACCTTACATGGATGGTAAGGTCCTAAATCATCTGAGAGGTTAATAAAGACCTTACATGGATGGTAAGGTCCTAAATCATCTGAGAGGTTAATAAAGACCTTACATGGATGGTAAGGTCCTCAATCATCTGAGAGGTTAATAAAGACCTTGCATGGATGGTAAGGTCCTAAATCATCTGAGAGGTTAATAAAGACCTTACATGGATGGTAAGGTCCTAAATCATCTGAGAGGTTAATAAAGACCTTACATGGAAGGTAAGGTCCTCAATCATCTGAGAGGTTAATAAAGACCTTACATGGATGGTAAGGTCCTCAATCATCTGAGAGGTTAATAAAGACCTTACATGGATGGTAAGGTCCTAAATCATCTGAGAGGTTAATAAAGACCTTACATGGATGGTAAGGTCCTAAATCATCTGAGAGGTTAATAAAGACCTTACATGGAAGGTAAGGTCCTCAATCATCTGAGAGGTTAATAAAGACCTTACATGGATGGTAAGGTCCTAAATCTATGGTTGGTAACATTTTTCTGAAGTACAAAAACGGCCATAATTCTGACACACCTCCACAAGTCAATACAGAGATCAGTTGCATCGACCGCTTCCCAAGTGGATGCTGTGCACTTTGTGACGATCACTATACTGGTATATAAATTAAATTATATTTTGCTAGCTAGTATATGCTGTTTACTACACTGCCTATAAAAGTATACAAACCATATTTTTTTTTTTAGGTATCCTATCAATGAAACGGGCATATGGTAATTAATATTGGGAAAATTTTCAGCTTCAATTGTCGATTTTGGCTCGCATTTCTGCATCCGAGTTTCGCGCGCTTATTTTAATGTACAGAAGACAATAATGGCTATACGGCCGTATGTGAGAAGAGGCGCTGCTCACCACTCGTCAGGCTCCCAGCAAGCAGCGGGACTCATCTCATTTCCCCGTCTGAGGACGAGGGTTGGCGTGGGAGCTCTGTAAGCTAAACCTTGCACACTTTACCGATGTGTTTTATACGAGTCGTACCGATATAGCGCCAGGTTATGAAGTAACTTTAATTACACATTTCTAATGATTATACAGTTCACGTTTTTATTAAATGAATATTTTACGATAATTGTGTCGACTGGGCACAATAATTGAGTGTGTTTATATCTAAGTATTGTAAATGAAGCTCGCAGAAACAATATGACGAGTTTAATGTGGACAGTCTCTTAGATGGAGGATGTGAGCAACAATCTATATGACAAATAGACGAGAAAACTATAGAGAATGACATTTTTTTAATTCGTCTGATTTGTGAATTTTTTTTTTTTTTTTTGCAAAGTTAGAAGCGTGTCTCCTCTATGACTGGGAGTGTGTTACAAGGAATATCCGTGCCTCACCTCACTTGTTTTTGTGTTTAATATTTTTGGGATTAGCGTGCTATGTGTACTATAATATGTTATGATTTTCACTTCTCTAGGATAATGTCTATTTGTGTAGGTGAAGTTAATAGTGTGTATCTATGAAAAAAAATCGATCGTGTCATGTCAATTGTAAACCGGGTATAAGAGACGGGTTTAGGGGATATTTTACCAACACTTCTGAATTTTTGTCCCCCTACAACACACACACTATCTATGTCTCATGTACACACTCAGCCTCCCCAAAAATGTGGTGCCATCTTAACCTCTGAAATGATTCCTTAATAAGACGTTGTATCTAGGGTCTCCAGCACAACTCTAGATTTTTTTTTTACGTATGTTGGAGGTGAGTGTGAGGGAGATGTTTCGCCCGTGAACACTTGCCTGTGTGCTCAGTGTATAATACCTTACTCCGTCGAGTTCTTAGAAGGCTACTTAGAAACAAAGTCATCCACACAAAAACACTATTTTATAAGTAATACTACAGCACCAATATGGGTACACATACACTCGGTTCTCACATGAGTAAACATTCAGTTCTTAAGTTCTGATGAAAGATGAATGATAATGGATGACTATAACACTTTACGAGTTAAATTCCTCTTGTTTTATCATTTAATGCATCAAAAATTAACATAACATTTGATGAGTGAATATTTACAGTCAGGATGACACCATTACCATGGCTGATGAAGTAAGAACATTATTGACTCGATCTCTCTATGCAACCTGTTTGGCTGGGACAAATGCACAACTTTACACCAAGCTGTATTAGTGAGCTAGCAGACTAACCTGTTAGTGTCTACGATGGTACAAGTGCAGTATTGGTGTGGTTCAGGACCTACCTGGGCAAGCTGGAGGCAACAGAGGGGCTTCTTCTCCTTCAGCAGGTAACACAATGTTGGACTGACGCCGATGTAGGGCGACACAGGCGGGAACCCCTTCACGATCCTGTATCACAACACCACTTGTTACCTAAGATCACCTCCTGTGTTCTGTGGCACTAACACCACCACCTTCAGGTGCTCTGTGGTTCAGATATCACTACCACCACCTGGGACATTGGTGGCAACATTGATGTACATTTACTGTTAAGAGTATGGATATGAATTTATGCTAACCATTCACTACTTTAAAATGATGAAACACATGAGTTTAAACTTTGAAGTGAACTTAACATTCTTAAGTGTTTACCTTAAGCCTTTAATTAATAAAGTTGAATGAATGATCACAGAATCCCTATCTAGCTTTAACGGCGTTGCAAACAAGTAAGATTATCAACACCGGAAAATTCCGATTATAAATTGAACTTTATTATATGGCACACTGGTCAAGCTGACCTCCTCGTAATTACATAAAGTAAAAATCATCTGAACCAGCTGTGCCCGCGTGAACTACCATTAATACACGTTAAGTCCACACGATCCTTTTGCATATACTCCTGGCTTCTCACTCAGTGGTTACCTCACCATCACTGAGAACCAGAGGGAAGTGAGGGAGAGACACAGGTACACCTCAGCTTCCTCTACACACAACTGCCAATCACGGGAGAGAGAGCTGCTGTGATCCTGAGCTTACCGCCCTTGGTGCCAGGACGTGAACCCTGATTAGGTTATAATACAGGGCCCTTGGACTTGTCCTCCCCTGCAGGATGATATGTCAACCTTTGTTATGTAGGAATCTGGAAACTGTGTGTGTGTATGGTGTGTGTGTGTGTGTGTGTGTGGGTGCGTGAGTGTGTGTGTTAGTGACTCACGCGATCATCTCGGAAGGGGATCTCCAGGGTACATCGTCCACCTCGTCGTCACTCTCGCCCGACGCCTCCTCACTCCCTCTCTCTTGCCCCGAGATGTTCAGAGTTGACCCAGTAAACATATCAGGCACGGGCAGGATGGAGGGTCTCCGAGTTTCTGTAACAATAAACAATACTGCTGACTGACTCACACTTACCACCACCTAACTATTTCAATCACCTGTCTAAGAAGGGCACCTGATTACCATAGACACTTAAATTGCTTTTCAGAAAACATAAATAATTAATTACTGAACTGATTTTCTGAACAGTTTAGGACATATTCCCTAGGGTACTTGGCACCATCTGGCATGTAAGTACCTGAGCATCATTAGGTAAAGGGTATTGGAATTTTAATGTATTTTCTCATATATTTTTGTATTAAGGATTATTTTTATTCCATTTTGTTGTTCCGATATGTGATGACAAACAATGTTATTAGATATAAACCAAACATATATATGACCCAAAAGTTAGATGCCAAATATTGTCAATAGCTCAAGGAAATTTATCCGCAACTTTACATGTGATTTGCACTCAGCATGTTTGAGAGAGAGAGAGAGAGAGAGAGAGAGAGAGAGAAAGGACGTACCTGGGCGCTTGTCTGAGACGCTGATGAGGGTGTCAGAGCGGGGTACGTCTAGGAAGTTGCCGCCGCTGAGGGAAGGACTGTTGGACTTGGTAGTGTCCTCTCGCTCCAGTTTGTGTCTCGGGTGCGCCTTCCTCATCTCCATCGACCCTGAGGGAGCGGGTAACTCTCCGTCACTCTCACGAACCTGCCTCACTCGTTCACTCACTCTCACCACCTGCCTCACTCGTTCACTCACTCTCACCACCTGCCTCACTCGTTCACTCTCACCCACCTGCCTCACTCACCTGCCTGTTCACTCGTTCACTCCTCTCACCACTGCTGGCTTCACCACCTGCCCCACCACTCACCACCCGCCCCACCTGTCCACTCACCACCTGCACTCCACCTCACCACCTGTTCACCACCTGCCTCACCCCACCTGCCTCACACTCACCACCTGTTCACCTCTCAGTCTCCTCTCACCCTGCCTCACTCGTTCACTCACTCTCACCACCTGCCTCACTCGTTCACTCACTCTCACCACCTGCCTCACTCGTTCACTCACTCTCACCACCTGCCTCACTCGTTCACTAACTGTCTGTCACTCAGTCTCACCACCTGCCTCACTCGTTCACTCACCACCTGCCTCACTCGTTCACTCACTCTCACCACCTGCCTCACTCGTTCACTCATTGTCTGTCACTTTTAATGCTTGGTACATCCATTCACTCTTTCTCCATCTGAACTCGCTCACTCACTCACTGAATCTCTCTCTCTCTCTCTCACTTGCACACTCTTTCACTGTCTTACTGTCTCGGTCACTCACTACACTCGCTTCGGTCACTCGCCACACTCGCCTCGGCCACTCGCCACACCTACAGCACGTGATACAACTGACAGGTGCCGCCGGAGGATGAGTTTGATGAGTGGAAAAGGAATTGAGACAACTTTATGTCTGAGGAATATTGGAACAGAATAAAAATGCAGAAAATAGCGAGATTTACAGAACTGTTGAAAAGAAAGAAAAAATAGTGCTAATAAAGTTTTTTAAATAGATATGTATAGACAAAAGTTTATAAATGTTTAGAAAAATGTTTATATATGTATAGAAAATGTTTGTATATGTATAAAAAAGTTTATATCTGTAGATAATTTTTTTTATATATGTGAAGGAAATAAGTTTATATATATGTATAGAAAATAAGTTTATATATATATGCAAAAACGTAGATGCAAATGATTCTGAAGGGATAGATGCTTTATACCAGGACGTACTGTTTGAGAAGGTTTAAGGGTATGCACGGGGCAGTCATAAGCTGGTGATTCATGTACAGCAGCTAAAAAAAGTATCTGTGCATACTCTGTGTGAAACAATATGAGACCACGGACGATAAGTATTGGGATATGCGTTTTGTCTCCTTAAACTACCTGTATTTGAGTGTAATCACTTGACCGATTATTTTATTTCTATATGCCAACTCACTCTCTGTGTTGGATACTGAAATGGCGGTGGGTGAAGACAAGCATACCAACCCTCCCGAGACATCACGAGTTGTACGTATAATTTCGGAAGCCATCGGACCCACCCTGTCAGATACTTTCTTTAGCTACTGTACCTTACCTACAGTACCTCCTCCCAGCCACTGTTACCTCCACACAGCACAGCAGGAGGAGGTCGCCCCGGGCCCCTCCCTCCCTCACACCTACTGTATAGTACACACCCTAAGACCCATTACTACCTTGTATCTTCCTGAGGGAGGGCTTGTATACAGCTCCTCGGTGTGTGTGTGTGTGTGTGTGTGTGTCAGCCTAGAGAACTATACTGCCTCAACCTTAAGCAGGATGCTGCCGACTGATGGGCTCCATTTATATCCGTGATAATATTACAGATAATATAAACAAGAGACTTGACGCCTACTCTGTTCGGTGAGCTAAACCTCTGCAAACTGTGATGATACTTGAGATGATTAACCCTACAGCAGCTGTCACTTTGAGGTCTCAGGCCCACATCGAGCTCATGGTGCCTTAATCACTCACTAATTTACTTCAACCGCAACTGTATTAGTGTATACTTAGAGCGGCGCCTGTGTTGCCGGAGAAGCCAGCAGTCAGCCTTCACTTCTGCTGCACATATTATACGCTTCCCTCCCCTCCTTCTGCCAACAGGTACAGGAACAGCGTCGTCTCTCATAATCAAGTTTGTGAATGCAACGTCCACTGCTGCTGCCTCGCCTGAGGCACTCACTCTTGTCTCTAAAGTCAGCTGGAGGGAGACCTTCCTCCCAAGGTCCCCTACACGAAGACAGTCCCTGGCCTCTCGTCACCCACAAAATTTTCCACTCTCTTAATTAAACAGGAGACTCGCGTCATCAATATGTGGTCACAAGGCTAAATTATCGTGATGTTTTACAAGTGAATTCAGGGAGAGGCACATAACTATAAACTTACCTCAGTACATAACTGTTGTGCTACTTAGTAATATAACACCCGGCACAGGACTATTTAACAACATTACAACTGATGACCTCGCCTGGCGTAATGAACGCAAGTTGTGAATGATAAACAACTTTTGAATTACATACAATAGTCGTCAACAGGTAAAAGCTCTAATATGTGCACAAAAGAAACAAGTCTATGGCTATTCAGCAACTACTGCATTAACTTATCTCTAGTGTTCAGTGTAGACCGTTCCTCAGCCAAGACGTGCACAGCGCTCAACACTTCACACACTCTCCCCTCAGCTGCTACTCCACACTACATCTACTGTATATCCTCGAGGACTCGAAACGTGCAACTATGGCATCAGCACAACACTGAGCTCCCGCGCTGCCTTAACTATCTAGGTGTAAGAGTTCCCTGGCACGGGACTTACCCTCCCCTTCTTGATGGACGAGGTTCTTCCTGGTGGACGCCATGAGAGCCTCCTCCCCCGAGATGTGTCTTCCCTGTTCTTCCTCCCACTTCTCTCTCCTGCGGTCCACCTCCTCCTCCAGCTTCTTCTGGAGCTCGTTGACAGAGACTGGAAGGGAGAGGCCTGAGTCACGGTTAGTGGCTGTTGTAGGTAGTGGTGTGGTACCGCGGCCGCTGGTACCCTTCCTCTGGTGGCGCGACTTCCCTGCATGGCTTTAACTACGGCCTACCTTCTCAGGCGTGGCAGGCGCCCAGCCCACACCTCCCCGCCCGCCTCAGAGCCTCACCTCATGGTTTACCACTCCTTACTCTCACGCCTCACAAAATTTAGCTTGTACTGTACTGTATAATAATGAACACTGAGACCACCGCCCTATGGGAACAGCTGTTATCGTTTCGTTATGAAGCGGAAAGAAAAATTCTTTGGTAGTTTGAAGTTTACAAATAATCAATACCTTCTTGGTGTGGGCCATGAGCACAATAACACCTGCCCTGTAAGTGAGAGGGGGACCACTGCAGCAGTCCCTGGGTGCTTGTGGTCGCTCCACCGAGCCTACTTGCGAATATGTATAAACTTGAAATAGATCGCTGGGTGTGGGAGGAGCATCGTGGGTGTTGGGCGGACAGTGTGGGTAGTTTGAGCAGACTGACTGTGTAGTGGTAAACAGATAAGGTTGGAGGCGCAAGACCCCGGTGTATATACTCGGGTTGGCTACCTGCCGCCACATCTACCACCAAAAGCCATGCAGGGTTACGCTACAAAAGTTTAACTAATTGATTTATATAAGCAGGGAATATTTATTGCATTAAGTTTATTATCTTTATTAGGATTATATGAAACGACAGAATTAACATCTTAGTCTAGACTAACACTACCAGGTACACCGGGTGATGCATGCAGCCCTCCACCACACCCGCCTACCTTCCTACACTCTATTGTGCACTCTGCTGACAACTTCACGAGCACGTCGGGGCATGGTAGGGCACGGCGGGTCATGGTAGAGCACAGCGAGGCATTGTAGAACACGGCGGGACGCGGCGGGGTATGGAGGACACGTGAGACGGGGCATAACAGGTCACGGCGGGTCACGGCACGGCATACAAGGGCACAGGGTGGATCGGCGGAGCGTATACTAGGCGCAGAGTGCCACGGGAGAGCATGTAGAGATGTGGAGTGACAGAGGACGAAAGATCATGGAGTGGAACGGTTGGGAGCGCAAGGGCATGGCAGGGAACGGAAGGATACTAAGTAGCACGGTAAGGAACGCTGGGACAAGGATTGACGAGGAGGGGCCCGGAGTGGCACTGTGGAGCACGCAGGCGGGATAAGTGGCTCTGAAAGGCACACAAGGACACAGTGGTATGAAAAGGCACGCAATGGCATAAGTTGACACGGCAGGGGGACGCCAGGTACGGTAAGGGACGTCAAGGCACGATAGTGAATGCAAAGGGCATGACAGGGCACGCGAGGGAAGGGAAGGATCGTAAGGCTATAGCGAGGCACGGCGGGGTACGAAGGAGAACGCAGGGGCACGGCAGTACACGACAAAACACAGCAAGGCACGCCAGAGTACGACAAGATCTGAGCACACAAGGACACTGCAGAAGGTAATAGGGCACGACAAGAGAAAGCATGGCAGGAGGGGCGTGATAGGTCAACAAGGGTTCTCAAGCCCTCGCCCAACACCTCAAGTACCCTAAGACGTACCCACAATATAGTGAATGAAATGCACAAACAACATTACTCCCAGAACAGTAATCGAACTCACGCCTCTCAGACGACAGGCTCGGGCATGACCTGGCGAGTCATTTGGTAAAACATCATTTGTACCCTTAAGGCAGAGTTCAGGTTAAGTTCCCTGGCCAGCGGTGGTAGATCAGGTTCTAATGATCTTTCTGCCTTTCGTGGTACAAGTGATAGTGCCCGAACCTGTCATCAGAGAGACGTGGGTTCGAGATCCTGCGGGGGGAATAGTGTTGTTTGTGCCCCAAGACACCAGATTCACACAGTGGTCACCCCACACCACCACCGAGAGATTCTCGTCCCCTCACGTCAATCACAGAAATTGTTACATGGCGCAGCGCGATCCCGGAAAAGCCTACTGTAGATACCGATGTTATTTAACACATTAAAGGTGTTTTAAATTTAGTAACTGGTATGTTTACCACACCGCGTGGTAGGTGTTCCTGTGTGGGCAATGAGTGGGTCCCGGGGACTAAGTGGGACCAGGGGACTAAATGGGACCGGGGACTGAGTGGAACCAGGGGGACTAAATGGGACCGGGGACTGAGTGGAACCCGGGGACTGAGTGGAACCAGGGGACTAAATGGGACCGGGGACTGAATGGGACCGGGGACTGAATGGGACCGGGGACTGAGTGGGACCGTGGGACTAAGTGGGACCCTGGGACTAAATGGGACCGGGGACTGAGTGGAACCAGGGGACAGAGTGGGACCGGGGACTGATTGGAACCAGGGGACTGAACGGGACCCGGGGATTGGTACCTGGGCTGACGCTGAAAGATATAAAGTAGGAGTTGGTATCTGAGGATAAGAGTATTTAAATGTAGATTGGATTTACCTACGGGAGAGGGACTTCAGGATGCACTGAGCGGGCTTAAAGGACTGCTGGAGTGGGCTTATGGTAATAGTAGAGTGGGCTTATGGGCAAGATAGTGGATTGGACTGTGGACTAAGCCGTGGACTGTCCTAATCACTTGACTGTGGACTTGGCTACAGTGAGCTTTCGGTGGAGGGACAGGAGGACTTCCGAAGGACTATGGCGGGGGCTACTGAAGGACTATGCCGGGGGCTACTGAAGGACTATGCCAGGGGCTACTGAAGGACTATGCCAGGGGCTACTGGAGATGGACTATGCCAGTGGCTACTGAAAGAACTAAGCCAGGGGCTACTGAAGGAGGACTATGCCAGTGGCTACTGAAGGAGAACTAAGTCAGGGGCTACTGAAGGAGGACTATGCCAGGGGCTACCAAAGGAAGACTATGCCAGGGGCTACTAAAGAAGGACTATGCTAGGGGCTACTAAAAGAACTTTTGGGCTTTAGGGCTTTCACTGGCTGATGACTATGCTAGGGTTGCCGAAGGAGGACTACACCAGGCTGACAATCTCCCCTGTTAGACTAAGAGTCAGCTGGGCACACACAGTAGCCCACATGGGTGGTGGGGGAGGGTGGGGCTGGGAGGTGGGGCTGGGGAGGTGCATGGGGAGGGTATGGGAGGGTGGGCTGGGGAGGGGTGGGGCTGGGAGGGTGGGCTGGGGAGGTGGGCTGGGGAGGGTGGGCTGGGAGGTGGGCTGGGAGGTGGGCTGGGGGAGGGTGGTGGGGAGGTGGTGGGGGTGGGCTGGGAGGCCCAGGCCGGGGGCAAGTATACGGAACATTTAGCGCGTCGTATGGCTGGGCAGGTGAGGGGGCACAGGCATGTTGAAAATGTTCAGGTGAGGGAGGGGGGAGGGAGGAGAGGGGAGGGGGGGAAGGGAGGAGGGGAAGGAGGAGGGGGAAGGAGGAGGGAAGGAGGAGGGGGAAGGAGAGTGGGGGAAGGGAGGAGGGGGAAGGGAGGAGGTAACGGAGGAAGAGTAGGAGGAGGGGAACGGAGGAAGGGAGGAGGGGGAAGGGGAGGAGGGGGGGAAGGGAGAGGGGGAACGGAGGAAGGAGGAGGGGGAACGGAGGAAGGGAGGAGGAGGGGGAAGGGAGGAAGGAAGGAGGGGGAACGGAGGAAGGGAGGAAGAAGTAGGTATACAGGTATTGTGTATGTAATTAGAAGGAACAGGTGGGAGGGAAGTATACTATACAACTAGCGTGTATAGAAGAGTATAGACAGTAGTTAAGGGGCGACTGATCAATACACCAGACTAACACACATACGCAACAGCTACTACTTTAGGTTGGTTCCTTACTGACGGCACACACACACTACCATAACTTGACCCCACACATCACGACATACACAAACCAAGAGTCAAGTGCAGTACGTCAAATACACAGTCAGTAGGTCACTAAGTATCCCCCCTTGTGGGAGTACTGCAACATGGTATACATATAACACGTGCAATTTACTGCCATGTAAACTCTTTTATAAGTGTACTAAGTCGACTACTTCTTCCTAGATCATCAACTACGGTGCCCGAGTATTGTAAGAGAGTTAATGCACGACCATAACTACACTACGTACTAAGTAAACATTGAGTAGTGTGCACCATCACCGCCAGTGTTTTACTGGCGGACATCACCTTCTCACAGGACTCTTGTGTGTGCCTCCTGTGAACTGACTACCGCCCACTTAACCTTCCTTAAAGACTGTGTTGAGATGAAGTTCCCCAGATACAGTTCAGGTGAAACAAGCCTTACCTCACCTCCAGGTAAGTGCTGCTCCCTCCTACAGTTCCTCTGCTACAGATGAGACTACCGCACATTTCACATAAATAACGAGTTGGGGGGCAACACACTGCGACGCTCGTGTCTCTTTAGCTAGCTCTCCCAGCCAATGACAAAACACTGGATACATGTCTTATTTGATGTCGTCGTCCGGGTTACCTGTCTTAGCCATAACGTTCAAGGATATGCCTCATCAATATCTAACTATATGTACCATGTAGGTCCTGTCCCGTCTCCTGCTGCTCCATGAACCCCGAAATTCTGACTTGTGAACCCGAAGTAGTAGACACTGATATATCATTCTGTTCACGGATGATTCGGATTCACTAGTCTGAATCTCGGGGTTCGTGGAGCAGCAGGAGAGGCGAGAGGACTTTTGTTTGTGACTGTACATTATTTAAGAGGAGTGTCATAACCAGATCAAGACCCGGCTGGAGAGGTTCTAGGTGGCCAGTGAAGACGGAGGTCATCGTGAACTAGCTTTATTGAACACTACTAACACTAAACATCTGTGACGGTGCAATGTGACGGTGTGACACGACTTACTTAGCAAGTGGACACTAAACTATGAGGTGGTAAACAGGATCTCGTGATTAAGTGCCTGCCTTCATCCTCCTTCCCTCCCTCCCCCTTAAAGAGTGAGTGTGGTGCAGGGGACGAGCAGTGTTGAGGGGAACCAGGAACCCCAGAGTACAGTGCTTGATGGGTGAAGGCATCGC